CTGGATTGTTGGCGCTTGTGAAAAAGGCCGACGAATTGGGTTATCTCCAGCTTAAATATAAATGAGTTTATATACTAAAATTTATACACGAAATATGTAAAATTTTAGATGAAAATGAAATGAATAAAAAACAAAAAATTGAGTTATACACTTTTTATGCTAACTATGTATTAAAATGGGGGGTGTTTGTCAATCTACTTACAAAACAAATTTTCTAAAGACCTACTTTTTCTTACTAACTATGCTTCTTAAAAGTATTTTCACTTTATTTAAATTAGTTGATGAGGTTATCGTTCCACAAAATGAGGGACAAACAGTTTTCTTATTTAGACGACGCAAACTATTTTATGAATCTGGTAGACCAGTGCCTGATAAAGATATAATTTTTACATTCTGGACCAAATTGTAAGCATAAATCACGACCCAACAGAACCTTGTTTTAAAACATACCGATTCAAACGAGGGTAGATCTCCGGGGCTGTATTTTCGGAGATCTAATCAGGGTCGATTCAGGTGGCGTAGAACCGCCTGTTGTGAGAAAAGAACCGTAGCTAAATCCTTACTGTTCCGGTTTTCTCGACAGAACATGTAATTATTTGGTTATTTTTCATTGCAAAAATATATACAGATATGAGGTATTTTGTTAATATTTCAAGCTACTTAACTATGGCAAGGCGTACATATAATTAATTCTTAAATACCTTGATGATGTGATAACATACTTATCACCAATTATAAATTACGATTATCGATTATAATCTGCAATAGGTTGTAGGTATTTCCCAATTCTTCAATCTACTTATGCTTTTAGTCGTAAGTCGACACTCTTCTAACCGCCAGACAAAATGAAAGTTTCACTGGTAATGATAGTTTTCGGATTTTTAGCCGCGTGCTTGGCGCTAACTGATGCATCCAAATTGCGCTATGATAATTTTAAAGTTTTCAAAATTCAAACTGCAAATGCAAAACAACGTCAAGACATCGAGAGTTTGGTGGAAAACGTGAAAGGAGTAAGTTCAAAGCCGCCATATAGTATATCAGTTCTGTGTGAAGAAAGGGATATTTAATAGTATGAATATACCTATATACAATTTATATTTAACAAAATGCAACAATCAACGCATTGCCATACTTTCATATAATTCGTCAACAGATACCAAAACTTTCATAAAATCCTTCAACATAAATCCATATAAGACAAACTGTATATACTCCTCAACGAATAGCCATACCTTCATATAAATCTTCAGCGAAAACCCATACCTTCATATATTTTACTCGTTAGCATTATAAGTATACATTGAACGATGTTTTATCAACGAAGTAAGTCATATTCCATCACGTATCGGCCATATAAATATCTATAAAAATGTTGCTACCACTTTTTTCGATTAGCTAATAATATTTATTTTACCAAACAGTTTAATTTATGGCACAGCGATGATAAAGAAGTCCATATAATGGTAAATCCAGAAAAGCTCATTTATCTACAAAATGTTACACGTTCATATCAACTACCTTTCCAAGTAATGGTCTCAAATGTACAGAGGTATGTATAGTTTATTAAATAAAATATAAAAACTGGTGTCCAGATACAAACAATACAAAAACAAATCTGAACTCAAAAGTAATAAAAAATTTTTTTTAATATAAAGGTAACAGCATAAGTGTCTTACGATTTACTAGCTTGTAAACTTTAATTACACCGAAATTTCTAAAATTAACAGTCTAATTGATAACGAACAGCCCACTAAGTCTACCGATGATCTGTCCTTTGGTTGGACGCGTTATTATTCCTTATCAGCAATTGAAGCTTTCTTAGACGACATACTTTCTAAATACCCCGAAGTTACCAGTCACATCGATATTGGCACATCTTTTGAAGGACGCAAAATTCGCGGCATTAAAATCTCTTACAAGACGGGTAATCCAGGTATATTTATTGAATCGAACATACACGCACGTGAATGGATAACGTCGGCTACGGCGACTTGGTATATCAACCAGTTACTCACTTCAACGGACCCTGATGTGCGTGAGTTGGCTGAGAATTATGATTGGTATATTGTGCCAGTCCTCAACGTGGATGGTTTTGTCTACACACATAAAACGGTATAATCCATTTGTAGCACATCAGTTAAGAAATAGCAAACATTTAACACAGGCATATGTATTTTTAGGACCGCATGTGGCGTAAGACTCGCCAACCGGTGGAGGGTTCGAGGTGCATTGGCGCTGATCCGAATCGTAATAGTGATTCGCATTGGATGGAAAGTGGCGGTGCATCCGCAGATCCATGCAGTGAAACTTATGCCGGTACACATCCTTTCTCAGAACCAGAGATTAAAGCTATTGCTGATTACGTAACCAGTATTAAGGAACGCATAAATATTTATCTCGCTTTTCACTCGTATAGCCAAGTGCTGCTTTCACCATATGGACACACAACTGAACAAGCCGATAACCACAATGATTTAATGGCTGTGGCAAAGGCTTACTCGGATGCTGTCAAAACGTTGCCTTACGGTACGGAATACACATATGGCACATCAGCGACCTCTATGTGTAAGTATGACAAGTAGTGCACAAATTATTTAGAGCAACACATTGAAGTAATATATTTGTTGTTATTGTTACATAGATTATACTACCGGTTCCACCAGAGATTGGGTTTATAATGAGCAAGGCATACGTATTTCTTACACCATCGAATTCCGCGATACTGGACGATTTGGTTTTATCTTGCCGGCAATACAAATATTGCCACACTGCGAAGATACACTAGCCGGTATTTTGGCGTTAGTGAAGAAAGCCAAGGAATTGAAATATTTGGAATTAAAATACACAGTTTAAAACAGAATAAAAGATCTGAAATTTTTGAAAATATAAATATAGATTAATCATTTATTTATGGACGAGATGAATGTCCTCCTCTGTGAATGATTCAAAATGCCCTGTTCCCGTTTACTTCAGTTATCTACACCCTGACGTACTTTCCATTCGCCTATTTAAATGAAGTGGATTATATATATCGGTTTTAGTAGACGACGCACCTAGGCGCTTAGAGGGAACATTGTTATACCACCGGGACTGAAAACCTCTCACTCCATTATCTCCTCTCTGAACCAGAACGTGATTTTAATAAAGTTCAAGGGCGAAAATATGATCAAACTCCGAACCATTGTCGACAAACCTGCGGTGAAAGTTGCGATTATTAACCTATAAAATGTCTTACTTTCACATAGATGCTTTATAGTTTCCTCTTCTTCCACCTCCTAAAAGCTTATATAATAGTCAGTATATAGCATCTAAAACAATATATGACCTGGATTAAATTGCTGGTTTAATATGAAATAGCATGTTAGACCCACTAAGAGATCAAAACATTCTTTCCCTATCTTTGACGAAAAGCTTGGCTATCTTGGCTATCTTGACCGCTTGCCTATCGTTATATATAAATATATTCCTTGTTGTGGGCACACTCCTAGTCAGAACAAGAATGGGAAGTAGTAGTGTTTATTGCTGTGATCTCGGCGTGGAAGGCACTGCAGTGGTCTGGTGGACGAAAGATGACTTTGGTATCTAATTTGCTAAAAAGAAATCACCTCCCACTCGATTATCTAGTTTGGATCCATCCGTATAAATATTTATCCCTACGCCCCAGTCTGCCTCACCCATTTTTCACTTTTTAGTATCGGGTTTTCAAAAATAACTCTTTTGGTAGACTTGTGATTTATTATAGGTCTTATGGAATTGCAGTTTGAAAGTGTCTCCAAATAATTCTACGTTTATAGACATATGGCCTCTGATAAGATTGACTAGATTGTTGGTGGATGGAGCCATGAGTAGAAGTGAAGAAAGTATTCCGAGCAACATTCTCTTGAAAATAACCAGAAACGATTCTTTGTCATACGGTGCAAGCAGCTCATGACTTCTGGTTTTAGACCAAGTTTTCTCAGAGTAGCCCAAAAAACACCCATTTCAAGGCGAGATAAACTGAGAAGGCAAAACATCTCCTCTCCACTGTTGTGCGCTGAGCTTGATACCCGCTGCATACAAATTCTCGTCAGCATCGAAATGAAACGCAGAATTACTCTTGTAGGTACTCCGAACTGAGTAGGCAGTTGAGAAGTAAGGTCCTCTCGACGAACAAGGACCAAACTCTATAAGTCACTCATTATTGCCGTCCTGCTATATGGTGCAGAGGCATGGACTATGACAACATCCGATGAGTCGGCGCTTGGAGTTTTCGATAGAAAGGCTCTGGAGAAAATTTATGGTCCTTTGCGCTTTGGTAACGGCGAATATCGCATTCGTCAGAACGATGAGGTGTACGAGTTATACGACGACATTGACATAGTTCGGCGAATGCTGGCTAGGTCATGCCGCTCAAATAGATGAAAACACTCCAGCTCTGAAAGTATTAGACGTAGTACCGGTCGGCTAAAGCAGAGGATGAGGAAGTTTTCCACTTTGATGGAAGGACCAGGTGGAAAAGAACCTGGATTCGGTTGTAATTTCCAATTGGCGACATGTTGGGAAAAGAAGAAGGGACTGGCTTGCTGTTGTTAACTCGGCTATAATCGCGTAAGCGGTGTCTACGCCAGCAAAAAAAGCAGATTGAGTCTACTATAGAGGCATATATGACGTCTATTAACTAATTCCATATTCTAACAGTAAGACTTGTTTGTATAACAATTGGGAAAGAATGTGGATATATACATATGTGGAAAGATATATTTTTTATTTCATTTCGGGAATAAATTTTTTGAAGAATTCTGTGTTACTTTTAGTATTTTTCATCCGACAAACAATTGTCAAAATACATACTTGTATTGAGTGAGTGGTGTACTTTGTAACTATAAAAAATATATTGCATTGTGGGTATATACATATATACCCCATATATTTTCTATTTCCCTTTAAAATATTTAATATAAGAAGTAAGCAAATCATCCATTTTGTAACCTTGGGTGGTTGTGCAAAGCAATTTCGAAGCACCAATCATATTACCGAAACGCATATGAAAATATGCATTGCCTGAGCTCCAGAAACTTAAATCGCCATAGCCGTAAGATTGCAGTATATCCTAAATATAAATATACACATTTAAAACACTAAGAAAGATATTTTTTCACCCACCTTCGTTTCTGGATGAATAATGTGAAACCCACGCTTATTTATTGCAATCAATATGGTCTCGGGCAAATTCTGATCTCCACTCTGCTTCACTAAAAAGAATGTCGAACCGAACATTTGCTGCGCACCTAAATGACTGAGAAAACGTTGTCTCGCTTCCCACTCATCGACATGCTCCTCCAACAGATTACTTACACATTGTATTATACGTGGACGCCATTGGGTAACCTTCAAAAGGATTATAAGATCTTCAGGAACCAAATGTGGCAACACATCACCGATCTTATGCAAATGCGTTGTGCTCGTGCCAAAGCCAACTATGTAAATTAAACCAGCCATTGTGATCGCCAAGTTTTTATCCACTTTGTAATAGCCACTCAAATATTTGGGTACTTCTTGTGGATAGTAAAAGATCATATCGGCATTACGATCCCGACCAGGTACCACATTAAACCAGAGTTTCTTCATGAAATACAGTTGATACTGTAATGCGACTTGTGTCCGTGAGCGACTGGGTAAATTCAACTGCATCCACTCCTCCAATTCGTTAATGAAATCGAATGCGAATGCCGTTTCCGGCATGGAAAATACCTTATTGTCGATTTTCGCAAAGAGTGAAAATCCTTCGCAAGATTTCAGTTCAAAACGTTTTGCAATGTCTTGTGTGATGTGGGCAGCGCCTGTAAAGGATTCAATTTCAAACGCTTCCACGCTGCCATCTGGAAAATATATCTAATTGTGGAAAAGTGAGCGAAGACCAATTAATAAATGTTTTAATTATCAATAAGTGAGCGCGCACCTTATGATAAATATGCATGAAACGCTGCTGTATGCCCTCCACTTCGATGGCATGTGGTGGTCGTTTGCGCTTTCCATTCGCCAGCGTACGTTTCAAGCGCTTTGAGGACTCCGCTGCCAGGATGTGTGTACGTGTGTTTAAAAACTCAAGCAGCTCTTTCATAACCAAAGAGCTGGGGTAAATGATGCCCGTCGCCAAATACATCAGATCCCAACCGCGTTCCTCACTATGTTGCAAACGGTTGGCCGTCAGCTGTTTCATCAGCTGGCAGTAAAGCTCATCGCAAAGGGTCTCACACTCTAAAGCGTGTTTGAAAATGAAATCGGTATTTATGTTCTGCTTACCATGTGGCGTGTCACCCATGTACTAGAAAAGAGAAATTATTACAATTAAGTCTTAATTAAAGTCAATAGTAGGTAGGTGATGAATAGGTAAAACATTTTGGTATGGCAATCGAATATCAACAAAATTCACGGTGCTGTAGTGTTTAATCTCCTTATATTTGTCTAGGTTTCTTGTAGACTTGGGCTTAATTGTTAAGTCCCTAATTGAGTCAATTAGTCAACCAATTTGCTAATTTACTTAATGGAGTATCTAAAAACTAATCCTCACTCTTGTGCATATAGACTTAATTAGTAATTCCCTAATTGAGTCAATTAGTGCATTAATTTGCTAATTTACTTAATGGGGTATCTAAAAACTAATCCTCAGATACCTTCAGAATATTGTAAAATATTACAAGCGCTTTTTGGAAATTCTCCGGATCACGTAAAAGCACTTTCAGCAGTGGAGCCTTCAGCATATTGTATGAGTGTCGCCACAGTTCCTCATTTGTGGACTTCACTGTATTCAGTTGCGCCTGTGATGGCCAGCCGTTGCTAAAAAAAAACATATATCAACCATTCATAAATAAAAAAAAATAGATATTTAAAGTAATTTTCACTAACATTATGTCATCACGAAAATGATCTGCTGCAAATTTTCTCAATGTATGCATACGTTGGCGCTGTATTGTGGTGTACTTTACCGATTTTAAATTTCGCTTGTGCACGTTTTCGGCGCTCTCTTTGTATAATTGTAATAATTTTGCCGATGGCCTCACTAGTGTTGCTAGCACGCTTACCACTTCCACCGGAAACTCTCCCAACTCTTCGTTACAGATTCCTGGCAACCATCGCTTCTCACCCGCCATTACTTGCGCCCCGGTGGTATCAGCATCGAATTGCACCAAATCACCTTTCAGTAAGAATAACCGTCCTTCACGTTCTTCCAATGCTGGCTTGTAATCTTCAATGGCAATACCAAATTTCGAGCGTTCTTTGAGATTTTTCAGCATAAAATTGATCAACTCCACGATATCTGCCGCTTCATAGCATTTGAAGGTGAAATCCTCTTTCTGTACAGTTTCAATATGCAGCTCACTGATATTCGAGCTCTCAACCGAAACACATGTCACCTGGCACAACTCAGCATAGGATAGTTCAGCCAAGACTTGCTCCGTTTCATCGACCAAATAGACACCATTCGAATTGATGGCTATAACTACATTATCTGTAATGAGTTTCGGTCCAGCCGTGCGTACAGCCTCAAAGTATCGCGAGAAATACATAGACCAAGTTAGTTGCGCAAACAAACAGATATCCTCCATGGCTTGTTTGGGTGTTCCGGATTTCACATATTCATTGCTTGCAAATGTTTCTATTATGAGCTCTTCCCATATTCTCAAGCTTTTCTCACCGGCTGTCATAAGATTCTTTGGTACAAAATCGGTTATGAGTTTACGTAAGACCTAAAAATGTATGGTTTCAGTAAATTGTATTCGGAATCGGCTATAAATTTAGCATTATTACATTACTATCCATATTTGCACCCTGTTCCACGTAATATTCAAGTGCACAGATCATAGCAATGTCTTTTTCGGTGCGGCAGCGAAACTCACCAAAGTTGAGGCCACGGATTATCTGAAAAATGAAAAGGTCAGAAGGCCAAAAGTTTATGATTGTTTTAGAATATATTTCAACCTGCTTATATATTAAATATGTAGCCAATGGATCCGCACTTGGATCGTACCAAGTAGTAAACATCTCTTTACGCAAATACAACTTCCAAGGCGCATTCTTCTCATTCTGACCCTGTTCCCTAGCATACTGTTCACAATTGGATATGGCATCCATTATATGTTCATTGCCATTACCGAGTGACATGATTTTATCGAAGATTGAGATGACAATAGAGAAACCGAAATGATCTGAGAGTCCAATATGCTCCGCTAACTGCTGTACGGCTTCCTTTGCTGTGGAAGCTGAGTCCACCTGTAACTTCTTCATGTTGCCGTCGGAAAGAAATACATTTAAGGTAATGGCAGACTTATTTCGAGTTGCCTGTAACTCTAGCCACGCTGGTGGTTGTGCACGCGGTCCATTCTGTCATGATTGTATAATGGAAGTGATTTAAATTAATGGAGAAAACAGAAAAGAAACTCTATGAGTGAACAAACGTATAATTGCGGAGTTTAATGCCTTACCTTTAGGGTTCGGTCCAAACGATTCTCGCAATACGGCGCATATAACATGGGTCCATGCTGTATAAAACAACGTAGAAAATGCTCAAACCGTTTACTAGGGGGAAAGCAGCCTAAGCAGAGAGATAGTAATATCCAGCCCTTAGCGAAAGAGGTACGATAAGGATTATTGGTTAACTGTTTACAAATTTGTGCCAATATCTCATCTCTGAAAATATGAAAAAATTAAAATATTTACCATTAAAAGAATATAAATGCCTTCACCTCAGAGTGGGTCGCAGTATGCCATGTCCAATTATGAAATGCAGCTTCTCCAAGTTACTGCTGCGCATATTCAAAACTTGCTCATAGAACTCGATTTCCCCGGCATTATCTAGTGTCTTTCGCAACAGATCTGGCAATTTCGTTTTGCGCTTCAATGTTTTTCGTATTAAACTTTGATGTGTCGATTCGGTTTCGTTTAACGTAGCGAGTGCTTCTTGAAACTCTTTACTTTGAGCGGCACTTTTCGAGAAGGTCATTGCTAAACGTTGCATAACGCTAGATTTGCCCACAGTGTCTACAAACTCTTTGTCAGGATAATTGAACTGTGTGCTTTCAACATCCTCTTCAAATTTTGCCTCGGCCATGTCGCCCATAAAACGCAATATCATTATCCAAATAGCCTGATTTCGGAGACCCACGCAGGAAAAGAGAAGAGTGCAGCATTTTACAGTTAAATATACAGGCCACCGCAGACTTAACTCAATGTGATAGTACTTACCCTGGCGGCAATACCATCCATAGGTAAGTCATGCTCAAGTAAAGTTTTCTTCAGCGGCTTTGTGCTATGATAACTCGACGCTTGTGCGTTGAAATAAGTCGCAGCGAATTTTGCAAAGCTGTACTCCGTTGTATCGATCGTGCTTGTTTCGAGCTCTGGTATGCGTATCGTACCACCCGAAGGCAGCGCACGGCTTAGCGGCTAAAAAATAAAATACCTTCATTGATAACTATAGGCTATAAATGAGGAACAAACACTTTCATGGAAAAAATATTATTATACAAAGGTTTGTTATGGACTGGATAAGTTCTGTTGATAGTAAGGTTTTCGGTGTTTTGAATAGCATTTGATGATTCAAGTTATAATTAATTATATGGAATATATGAGTAGAGAACGTGGGTTTGTGTTCAAAGCTCTGGTTTGACTTGAGTTGTTATTCCAAGCTGTCAGAACAGAAGTCCTCGATTCGCGAAGCATTGGAGAGTAGCCAATCGAATAAACTTTACTAGATGTTCAAATATATAGAATGCACTTGTAGTACTACCTTGCGCTACATTACCTTTTGAGGTGAAGGACGGTTAACATAGGTATTCATATGCGATATATATTAATAAAATATCACTTTAATATTTCATGATGCTTACTGGGTTATTTATTTTTTAGACCAAACACTTCTTTTACGCCTCACATTTTATAACAATCCATTTGATGCTATGTACTCTGTCAACTTTTCGATAAATACGAGTATAATCCGCTACTACCACCTATTATTAACTGCCAGTTAGTCAAATATTTACGAACTTGTATTTAGATAAGGAGCTGCCACTTAAGGTAGTAGCCGGTTTTGTCAACGCTATAAATTGATATGGGTGCTATGAAATCTTTGTTATATGAATTTGGAATTGTTATTAACACTTTTCGTATTGAACTTCTGTTGAAATTGCTGGCCGTGGTTAGTTTTTGTTCGATTCTAGGTTGATAAAGGTCTTACCAAAAATATTGTAGAATTGGTGAAGGAAATATATTAGAAATACATTCAGGCATACTTGACATATATTAATTATAATAAATATTTTTTTTAGAAAAACCCAAGCTTTGGTTGCTTTATTTCTCGAGCAATAAGTAAAAGTTTCAGCGTAAATGGGAAACGAATTATATTCTTAACAAAGTAAGAAAAAGTGCTATCATTTCTAAAGAAAAATATGGAAGGAAAAAGTGAAAGATCTTCATAAACTAGTAGAGAAGCATTTGAAAATGACTAAAATTTAAAGAAAAAGCATCTTATCTTCATATAATCATTTTGACTTGAAGGAAAAAGAGTTAAGATGAGAACGGCAAATTTGTATAACTGGTGGAAAAATACCGCTAATTGAATTCGTTGGTCATTAATAGAATGACTTGCATGACTTAAAATGTGATTATCAAAATTTAATTAAAAATTCCTAATTTGTTTAAAGCAATTAGATATTCAGATAATTGATAAAAAAAAGAAACTAACAACAATTGTGAATATCTGACAAGACATATGTACTACATATGTATAATAAAAGCAATACGGAAGGTTAGAACTCTAGGCACATATGTATGTATGCATACGGTGGAGAGTGAGGAGTCGTAGGTGCAAGTTCAAGTGAGAAATGATGAATTTGCAAAAAATCTATGAATAAAAATGAATTGACGTGAATTTGTTGTCAGCGAAATTTGAAGAGGGTATTTCATGAATTTCAAGCAATTTTTAAAGAATCATCAAAAAATATATTTTCTATTAAATATTTAAAAATATTACCACAATACAAAAGATATCAAAGCAAGTAAGGAAGGGCAATCGAACATTTTATACTCTTGCAACTTGCACGAATCAAAGAATTAACGTTTAAAACCAATCATCTAGAGTAAAGTCAGCCGGATGTTCGAAAATCCAGATATTAGTTACATAGCGGCTAAGCCAAATGTCGCTTAAATTTATCTACTTTAGGCATAAAGATACACTGTTATTAATAAAACACGCTCTCTTATTTTCATTGAGATAACTCACATACTGACCAATATATGCGGCACAAAGTAACTCCGAAGTTCGAAAATCTTTATATTACGTATATGGGGGCTAAGGGAAGTATTGGTCTGTTTCAACCCATTTTTGGCATACGGACATACCATTATAAGAATTCCTTAATTTTGGTTATATATATCACACATTGACCGAGATTTTCGATCAAAAGTCAACTATAGGTACCGGGGCCTAAATATTCGGTGCCCCGGCGGCTTGACCAGTTTCTATAGGATTTAAAGAATTGTTGGTCATAAGTTGGTCGTTATATTAATTGATTCTTAATTTATGTACTGGAATCTGAACGAATCAAGTGGAATGTAAAGTGGTGTTATATGGGAAGTAGGCGCGGTTGAGGTCCGATTTTGTTCATTTTTACATTGTGACATACTGCACTTTGTCGAAATCGGTTTAATTGGTTGACGAGATAAGGGATTTCTCCAAGAAGTGAGTGGTGCCACGCCCATCGTCCAATTTTTACACCGACCCCTAAAAACCCTTATCATACTAACCCGTCGGCAAATTTTAACGTTTGTGTTGGATTTAATTATTGATTTATCGCGATTTTACTATTTCGAACAGTACCGTTATATGGGCAGTGAACGGAATTATCCTCCGATTTCTTCCATTTGCACACCGTGGAGAGAAATTCATATAATATTTGTTCTCAGCATATTTGTTTGTTGTAGCTTACGTGGTTGAGGTACATTAAAGCGGGCCACACCCACTTTTTCAAAAAAAATTCAGATTTCCTGTGCCAAAGTACAGCTTTATATCTTTATTTAGTGTCTTATATGTTTTCGGTTAATGGCTATTTGTGGGCGTGGCAGTGGTCTTATTACGCCCATCTACGAATTATAATTTTTTGTACTAAGGAACCAAATTTCATCAAGATATCTCAATTTTTACTCAAGTTACAGCTACCACGGATGAACGGACAGACAGTCAACTGGATCATATATGTATAACCCTATATCTATCTTGATTAGTTTTGATTAGGTGATACGTACAACCGTTAGGTAAACTAAACAATAATACAACTGGTTGCAAGAGTATAAAAATTCAACTCAAAGCTTTCAGTAATTTTATAAAAACTTAGCTGGAAGAAAATTCGTAAATTATAGTTAATTTTAATGGAACATATACAAAAAGAAATTTGCATTACCAGATTTTCGACGACATCTCTTTCTAACCAACAAATGTACGAACCAAGTGTACGAACGAATGTAACCAGCTATACATATTTAATGTTAGGTTAAAAGTCATTAGCCTATATTCTTCTACAAAAGCACCAGCATAAAATGCACAAAATTCCACCAATTTCTTACAACAAGAAATTAAGGCAGCACACCACTACAACCATATTCTACCAATTCATAAAAATAAACACAACAATGATAAACTAGTATTGCATAATAATGTAAAAAATATTTATTTACAAACGTCTTAGAGCACAACAAAATATTGAAATGCACACTAAAGCAAATCGTTACACGTAAATGAGTCAAATCAATGCTTAAGAAAAAACATTACCATACAATTTTTCAACTTTTGCTGCATTAATGCTGCTCTCATTTGACAATTAACACTACGCTTAAAATAATTACTAAAATATAGATGGCAAATATAAGCTAACAACGTATGTATGTACATAGATGTGCAAGTGATAGTTTCAACAACGTTTGCTAACGGTATTTCATAGGCAAAGTGTCATGAGTATGAAATGAAAACCGGCGGCTAAAACTTGTGCCACACAGCAACAAATTAGTACAATACTATGTAATACATTTCTTGTTTTTATTTCGACTACAAATGTTAATAGCATATTTTAAAGCTCACTCGTTTTCCAGTAGCAATACAAAAAAATACAATTTCGTTATATACACACGTCTTCTAGCCAACTATGTACAGCGTACCAAACACACTTAAGCCCTAATGGCGGCTCACAACTAATTCTAGCTTATAATCTCGTTTGATTCGACAATTTACGCGCTGGTGGTGCCTCATAATAATTCACCGGACGTGATAGCAGTTTAATGGGTATATTCTTTTTCAGACGCAATTCGCGTTCGAACATCAAAGATTTCTCCCGGACATTCGAAACGACGGGCGGACTCACATCGGCATCGTCGAGGAAACCAAACACGTCGTCCACAATCTGTTTCGACGACTCCAGATCGATGTAATTGTCATTGAGCGTTTCTTTGATTTGCCGCTGCGCAGGCACAGGCACGCCATTAAAACCATTGACGCCGTTCTTACCATTCACAGCCAGCCCGCCATTCATGTGCACCTGTGTGGCTATTGGAGTTGTGTGTGACGTCGGTTTTGGCGCCGTTGTCGCCACTGCTGCGGCCGCTGCATTTGCGCTGAGGCGCGACTGTCGCTCGCGCTCGACCTGCTGGTGTTCGAGCGCTTGTCGTACTAGCAATGCTTCCGAAGCGCGGAACGCCTGCATATCTTTGTAACGTTGGCGACGCTGTTTAAATGCCTGCCGTGCCAAATGGCCGCGGCAGTAAGCCTGCAAGTGGATCACATGACTGCGCAATCTCGTGAATTGATGCGTCAATTGCTTTTGTGCAATGCAAGCGCCTAAGCGATGGAAGCCCTGTCGCGCAATGCGGAATGCGCGTCGGTACTTGTAGGCGCGCCACACTTTCTGTATGACGAGCGCTGCTTCGCGATAACGTCGCAGTTGACGTCGGAAGAGTACGCGCCGAAAGCCGCGTTGTATGGCTATAATTGATTTTAGTACTATGCGCGCACGCTCCTTCTCCAGGTATGTATCGTCAATGTCTTTTAGGAATACTTTCTGTCGGCCGAACTGATAATCAGCCGTGGCCGGTAGTAATTTTTTGCATATTTGTTCGGTCACTTGTCGACAGTCGATGGTGTTGGTTGGACCGAGCTTCGGCAGCAGCAGGCGATAGCGTTCTACGAAGTCCTTGTAGCTGTGACGTATGGGGTAACCGGCGTGTCGTATGCGTGCCGTCTCCATCATGCCGGAGTAGCGCAGCTGGCGCACGCAAAGCTCGCGGTCAAATAACTGTAAAATGCAAGAAAATATGTGAGTGATAAAATTGGTAAAGTATAACTTTTTCTTTAATTTTTTAATGAAAATTTTTCGGTTTGAAGTACTTTATAATGTTATCTAATTTACAGAATTTGTCCGGAAAGTAATAAGACCGATTTTCTTCCGCCGCGACTGTACTTCGCAACGTGCGCGCACCGACTGTGTTCGGTAGAGTGCGTTCCTATCTAGCAAACGAGTGGTTGGTCAGTTGTCTCAAAGATTTTCGCGCGACGTGTTTCAGTGAGTGGTGCAAGCCGAAAATGCAGCGTTCGTTGGAGGTACTTCCGCAGCCGCCTTACAGTCCAGATGTAGCCCCCTCGCACTTTTTTGTTTCCTTGCCTGAAAAAGCCGATGAAAAGCAAGAATTTTGAGACAACAGAGGGGATCCAAGCAGTATGCACCCCAAGCCTATTCCGGAGGAAGGTGACGCCTTCAATGCTAGGAATCGCGCTGACATTTTTAAAGAATTGCAACAATTGGTTCAATAAATGTTTTTAAATCGACTCAGAGTTTTTTCTTTACGAACAAACCCTGTATGTGTGAATAGCGTGGCTCACAATTGTTAGATCTCTAAGTCTCGGAATCTTTTTACGATAAAACTAGTATACTTACATCAGACTTCTTATCCTCATTAGGTTTAATGCATCTAATAAAGAAGGGATGAGCCGCAGATAGTGTGCGCATGAGCAGATCCAATGAATTCCGGAACTTAACGGATAATGTCAACTGTTTCTTCATTGTGTCGTATGGCAGTTGTATTGGAAAAATATCTTTGAGAAACTTATTTTTTGATTTCTTAACCATCTCCAGCAGGTCCATGCTGAACGAGTCACGATTTTTCTCCAAAAATCCATTAGGGTTATACATAACCACGCCAGCATAATGTCTTATACCAAAGAGAGCGGCTTGATTAGATTTAGGTTTGACATATATGGATCGATTGCCATGTTGCACATGCAACTTTTCCAGCAATGTATTATCGGTGCCTGTAAAATTTCAATTAAAAAGGTTTTAGTATTTCAAGAGATATTTTCTCTATTCTCTTACAAAAACTGTTAACTGAAGGTGTGAAATATGATATTTTTTCCTAAGGTTTGTTTAAAAGTGAATAAGTAATTACCTTTGGGAAACTTCGATTCTTCGTCAATGAGTGACATAATATTCACTGACTTCATGCCAATCAAGTCCAATATCTCTTGATTATCTTGAAAGTCGATGTGTTGCCACTTTATGTTCTCTTGCTCATATTCCGCTTGCTCCATCTATAAATACAAGTGAAATATATTTAATAAAATGGGAAAAAAATATTTTCTTACAAACAACTAACCTTAAAAATGTGTCGCACAAAGAACTGCTGCAGATTCTCATTCGCATAATTGATGCACAATTGCTCGAAACTGTTGTCGGCGAAATTTTCAAATCCAAAGATATCCAGTACACCGATCGTATTTAGCGGTTTCGAAGACTTACCCTTCGTATTGATCGTCGCATTTATGCGTTCAACGATGCGTATGAAAATCGCGCCATACAACGACTTCACGAATGCGTCACGGCCTTCGATGACCATTTCACGCGAGAGACTGGTCACAACACGTTCGCCATGCACAAAGATAGTCTTGTATGTCAGCGCATTGGCCAAAGCTTGCTTTGTAACGCCCAGCAGTGAGGCTACACGCTGTAAACTCACGATATCGTTGGCCTCAGTGGCGTCCATATTTTGTACCACCGTCGCTTTGAAGTACATATTGCCGAGATGTAAAATGGCAGCCAATAGACTAAATATACTCCACACGTCCTCAGCGCCAAAAGAGAGCACCTTCATAGCTGCGCGTATGTCAGCATAATCTTTCGCATCACTTTTGCACTGCAACTCATGGCAGCCACCCTGTGATAAATAGTGATACTTTCTAGAAGATCTATCCAAAAGTTCGAGACGCGCCAGTTCAGCGTCACTCAGACCCGCCAACATGCAATAGAAAATGTGATAATTGCGCTCGTCGCGCGACTGCGCCACAATACGGGACTTCTCCAAAAGATATTGCTCAATATTTGCACTCTGTATCGTGCCCGCATCGGTGAAACGTATCTCTATGTATTTGCCAAAACGCGATGAGTTGTCATTTCGTACCGTTTTCGCATTGCCGAATGCCTCCAAAATTGGATTGGCCTCGATAATTTGCTGCTCGATCCAAGCGTGCTTGCCGCTAATGGCGGCCAGATACTGTAGTATGAGTTTGGTGCTTTCGGTTTTGCCCGCACCCGATTCGCCGCTAATCACGATGCATTGATTCATGCGTTCGCGTTTCAACTGCTGGAAGGCGTTGTCGCTGATGGCAAATATATGCGGTGGCAGTTCGCTAATCTTCTTGCCGCGATACTTGGCGATCTCACGGTTCGTGTAGATGGGCAGCACTTGGTAGGGATTGAGCGCGATCAGCATGGAGCCGGTATAGGTCTAAAAGAAAAAAAAAACTTACTTATAATTTACTTTACACAAGTATATACATATATCATGTGCGTATGTAAATAAATGCGCTACTCACATAAATAAGCTGTTTGGCGTAACGCATCTCCAAGTTGCGTAAAATTGCGTACTCCTGCAAATCGCCCAGCGTAATCATATCATCGACACCTTGCTGTGATGTGATATGCATCGCTTTCAGTACATCCTCTGCGGGCACCCAAAATTGCTTACCCTCATCATTGGCAATAAGTGTGCGTGCCTTCTCCGTGCGTATGACGCGCGCACCAAAAGGCACCACAAACTCATTGTCACCGGCATTTTGTGGCCGCACCCACACACATTCGCCCTATTGGAGTGGCATAAAAATAGATACGAAAATTGAAAAACAAACACTTCATTATTGATTGAATTTAGCAAAGGTGAGTTTTGCTAGGTTATAATACGTATATTTTGCAAAAAGTTTGCTGTTGAAAAGTGCTTATTATATACATATGTTTTAAGCCCGCAATATTTCTGCATGTGTGTATATATGCATTTGCATATTTATAAGCGTAGAAAATAAACGGTTAGCCATTCAGACTTATTTATCGGTTGACATACTCGAGTTGATCACAGCAATAGACCTCAAAAGCCACTTTATCGACACGAGTGGTTGATTATACGCCAAGGGGGTTTATGTGCGCTCAACCGCGACTGTTGTCTGTATGTGAAGGCATATATATATTATACTTGTGTATGACTCTAAATAAGTCTAAAAGTATAGTAATAAATAATATAACAACATTCAAAACTATGCAAGATTTATTGCGACTAGAATTTCATGTATTTGTGGTTAGCAGCTAAGTAGTAATTTCCTGTATTAAGACATTTATTCATATTAGTTATTGTTATTCAAAATTTGTTTTACATGTATGTACTAATCTACCTAACATATTGATAAATATATATACATATACGTATGTAAATATGTATTAGAACTTGTATACTTACGTCAAAATTTATCCGCGTAACATTGGTAATTAAATGTTAAGCTATGTTCAAATACAGGATATTACTAATGGGTTTTTAATCTACTTTATCAGTTGAAACTTAAAAGAATATAATTTGGTATTTCAGAAATGTTGCAGAAAAACATGGTCGGATAATTATCAAAAGAAAAGAAGTTTCTTATAGATTTAAACATACATATGAATTACACTGTACTTTTATAAGAGAAATAATAACCAGTCGTACATGAAGACGGACGGATTTGGGGATTCATATTAAAATATGTCTTTGCTGATAAAATATTATTGTTTAAATTAATGTTATATACAAAAATAAACCGCATTTAACAGGTGTATTGAAAAATTCGTAGACTAACATGTAAAAAAATGTTGGGTATGATAAAATTTATTTTGATTATTAAATATTGCTTGTCAAAAAAGTCTTGCGGTATTTTTATTGCATTTAATTGTTCATAATTTTTTTTTTTTTTTGTTTTTTTTTTTTTTTTTTTTTTTTTTTTTTTTTTTTTTTTTTTTTTTTTTTTTTTTTTTTTTTTTTTT